GTTTTCTTGTCATCGCTGTCATCATCGTCATCCTCCTCATCATCATCTTTGTCAGCAGCGCTTTCCTTGTCATCGCTGTCATCATCGTCATCCTCCTCATCATCATCTTTATCAGCAGAGCTTTTTTTGTCATCGCTGTCATCATCGCTGTCATCATCGCTGTCATCATCCTCATCATCATCATCTTCTCCTTTCTGGACTACACCGTCTTCTACATCATCATCGTCATCATCATTCTTAAACTTAATTTGTGTGGCTTTCGTAGAGGTGGACTCACCCTCGTCCTCCTCATCCTTCAATGATTTCTTATCATCACCCTCATCTTCATCATCCTCGTTATCGTCCTCCTCCTTCAATGATTTCTTATCATCACCCTTATCATCATCATCATCATCGTCACTGCCTTCGACGACTTTTTTTTTACTCTAATAGAAGTATATGATGTGGTTTCAAGGCGTAAATATATGTATCATTTGTAAAAGGCGTCAGAAGAAACACACCAGTATGTCTCCTATATATATTATATCTCCACATATTCGATTTACTATGTATAGGTATATCAGTATATCAGTAAGTACTCACATGTGCTTCAGTATATAAGTATGCACATAGGTAAATAGATATACAGTAATATATAAACGTATGTATATAGATATATATATATCTATATAGATATATACCAATATATAGATATAATAACAAAAAAATAAACATAAAAATAAAAACATTAATATATATATAAAATGATAAGAGGAAACTGTTATGCATAGATGTATATACATATGTATACATATATATATACATGTGTACATGTATATATACATATATATAATATATGAATACATCTATCTATATATCTATATATATATATATATATAATTTTATATTTATATGTATGTATGTATTTGTGCATATATATATATATATATTTATATGTATGTATGTATGTATATTGATAAGAGTAAACTGTTATGCATAGATGTATATGCATATATATGTATAAATATATATATACATATATATATATGTGTGTGTGTGTATACATGTATGTATACATATACATATATATATGCATATATAAATATATATATATATATATATATATATGCATATATATATATATATATATGGATATCTATCTATCTATCTCTATATTTATATATGTATGTGTGCATATAATATATATATATGTGTGTGTGCGTGTGTGTGTGTGTATACATAAATATATGTATATGTATATATGTATATATATGTATATATACGACGTAGTCTAAACCATATATATATATATATATATATATATAGATATATATATATATATATATACATATTTAGATATAGATATATATATGCATGTATGTATGTATGTATGTATGTACAGATACATGGGTATATATAATAGATATATATATGCATGTATGTATGTATGTATGTATGTATGTACAGATACATGGGTATATATATGTGTGTGTGTATCTATATATTTATATATATATATATATATATAATTAGAAATATTCTTATTTATTTAAAGTATTTAGAAAAAGAATAAATATATAAATATCTATATATATATATACATGAATAAGTATACATATACATTTACATATATATAAGTCTGCGTGTATGTACAAATATATATATACATTGTATAAATGTATATATATTTCTATACACACATATATATATATATATATATATATATATATATATATATATATATATATATATATATATATATATATAATAATATATATATATATATATATATATATATATACCTACATATACACATATACATATATACATACATGCAAACAAACATACATATACATATACATGTATGTATGTATATATATATATATATATATGAATATATATGTAACACTATTTCTTAGAAATAGAAATACCTCATCTTCCTCATCATCATCATCATCACTGCCTTCATCGTCCTCATCAGCTGATACTTGCTTCGATTTACTGCTGACAGTCACCTTGTCATCATCCTCTTCTTCCGCATCAGAATCGTCTTCATCATCATCTTCGTCATTCTCGACTTTTTTTAGGCTTGATTTCATCATCTACAGGTGTTGAGAACAAAGGATACCAACGTAAGCAATTGCTATGAATTCAACCAATATTCGCAAAGCAGATCATGTCAAATTTATGGTGGGCCTTGATGACGTGTGCTTTTCGACATAATTTTGCGAACGTATAATTGAGTCCCATGATAGTGCGCTTGATAGGGGAAATATATCTGCCCAGCATGCAGACAGAGCAATAGGTATCGAACTCTGTCAATATGTAGATAACCGCAATGGCGAGTGCAAAGTAAATTTGTACAAGTCTGAGCCATAATCACCATTATTGCACGTGGTTTTATCAGCGCTCAGTCTGCGAACAATACAATTCGATGGCATTCATGAACATGATTGGACAACATCGATTCGGATTCTATACCCAATGACTTTATACTTTACGCCAAGAGTCCAAGCTAAATGCAGCAAAAGTGAGATATGAGTGTACCATTCATGTCCCAACTTACACTACAAATACATTTGTTGAAATACTTGACATAAGTGCACAGACAAGGATACTACTCAACAATACGATGCTAGTGCCCGATTAGAGTGAGTAGTACAGATCAGTGCAAAGGAATTCTGCTATGGAACTACATAAATATTTTATATCGAATCGCGAGAATAAAGAACGTTTGTGGTCCTATTTCTAATGGGTTTTTTTCCAGATCACAACTTAACCTTTTACGTTTTTAATACCTTTCTATGTAAAAAAAAAATCTCATTCCCGACTTACCTCATTTTGCTTCTGTGAGATTTTACTCTGCAGCTTCTTGCCTGTGGAGCTTTCCTTGCCATTGAGGTCTAGGCTTTCCTGGGACTACAATAGAAAAACTATTTTTAAGTACATTATATTTGTACCTCAATTCTGAATGGCATATCGCAAGATATATAGTAGCGCTTGTAGGTGAACGACAATTGAAAACTCGACTTGAGAAATCGATACTAGCCAGCATCGTAGAAGGTGCAACTTTCACAAATGCACGAGTACGACTATTCACACCAACAAAATATGCTATTCACTTGGCCGTGTATAATGAACCCCACTTCAGGTCATTTGAAAGTAGTGGCGGTTCTTATGCATGTTTGTCTTGGGTTCTTTATGCACCAGAATTACATGCCTTAAAATGACAATTAAATCACTACATATAGATGGTAAAATAGATGTCATACTCGGAGATATGTGCTTCGCATTGTTTGCCATGATAGAGATGGAGTACGCTAGCATTGTAAAATTAACTTGGGACAGATTTCTAGCCTCGATAAGAACTGAACTGAATCTTACAAATAAAACACCTCTGATCGATCCACGTATCTCTCTTGTGAGAGTTTTATTAGGTACAACAATAGACAGAGCACTATCCAAACAATCTGAGATATTGCACGCTCAAAATGACGTCTATACTGCAAGCCCCTGAAAATATATACTTTAATACAAACGGGAGGCACCCTTCTTACCTCTTCAAACCGTACCAAAGTGCTATTTGTCCTAGTCATCACCCATAGCGAGCATCCCAGGAATATGAATACCACTATCAGAAGCAAACTCTTCTGATAGGGTTTTTTACGCCGCTTGCTCATCGGCTTGAACGATCGTTGCTTTCGATTCATGAATTCAGATGGGCTTCCCATAGTGTCAATATCCAGTGTAGAACTCTCAGGCTTGTTGCTCAACAGTGGTACGCTAGCCTTTTCACTCATTGCACGTAGGCGAACAAACGGAATGAATAGCGCAACTCTGATGGATGTGAGTCAAGGGAATAGACGCCCCTGTCTTTTTATTAATTTTATCTGTACTTTACATAGTATTTAGTGTTCTTTCTCTCTCAAATATTTAGGCAGAGAGCTTGACCGGCAGACCGCCTGAGGCACGGATATGTAAATCACTCGGGAGCTCACTAGAATTGACATATCAGGGGGGTGGGGGGTGGGGCAGGGCCAGAGGGCCAGCCAGCCAGTTTTCTGAAGAAAAAATCGAGATGGCAACGGGCCAAAAGTGGCCGTAACCAAGGGGCAACCGGAAATAGAACTGTAAGATCTTCCAATCCGATTATCGGATTATTTTGTGAGTCATAACAATTGCTTTGTGTGCCAATGTTGTTTGTGTTTGGGCTTGCGCCTTGTGCGGGCTGCGTTTTTTGTTGTTGTTTTTTATACTTTTTATATTAAAAAACAGCTTCTCTTGTCCGACGTATTCTGTTTTTTTGGAAGGCTACGATTTTTCCGTTCACTCTCATATTTTTACTTTTTTATTCTCGCTACTCCCTAAAATAGTCATAGTAGAGAGATGTTGATAATGGTATGAATTTACGACTCTACGGAATACGGAGTTACGGACTATGGTGCGCCTAATGTCTGATGAGCGATGCGTCGACGACCGACTTTATCGAAATTGACCATTCAGCATACATACGAACTATGTAAATAGTAGAAACAGTCTACGACTCTACGAGTCTGGGTCTCTGACTATTTGGCGCTCTTCGCCTCTGCGTCTCTGCGTCTCTGCGTCTCTGCGTCTCTGCGTCTCTGCGTCTCTGCATCTCTGCATCTCTCCAATATAGATACACCGAGCCGCTGACGCTTTATTAGTAGTTATACGGCACATGTTGTTACGGGATTTAAATACCGAAGTTGAATAGAGGAATTTGGACTAAGACTTTAATAATACAATATGTATGGTGAAATTGGGCAGTTCCGGGGTGGCCCCGAATACCGCACTACTCTAAACAGGCCCTGGTCCATGGAAGGTATTAAGATGAATTGTGAATCTTTGTTCCTTTCGTGGGTGAACAAACTTAAACGCGACACACACTAGTATGCACACGTATGAATGAATGTGTCTATAGCAAGTAAATAGACAGTTCAACAATACACGGAGTGCTCGTGTATGTGAAAAAAAACTTTGGATAGGGGAGCAGATAATATGTACGTCCTTACACAAACAAACAAATATGTATCGGAGATATATATATGTATGTATGTATGTATGTATATATATATGTATATGTATAAGTATATATATATATATATATATATATATATATATATATATACATATATACATATATGTATATATATACATATATATGTATATATGTATGTATATGTATATGCAAGTATATGTATATATATGTGTATGTATATGTATATATATATATATATATATAGTGTATTTATGTACGTAAGTCGTATGTAACTTCGTATAATGTATGCTATACGAAGTTATTACGGTCTTTGTAGGAGG